TTACTAAAATTTATTAAACTCATGATTTTTCAAAGCCATTCGACAAAACTCGAAGAAAGCTCAAGCTTGTTATTTTTGCAAGACTATCGCCTCGGCCGTTTATTTAGAATTAGCAGAAAAATGCAATTTTTTTGTCCACATTTTTGCAAAAATCTAGAAACCAATTTTGAAAATTTAAAAGCCTTTTGAAAGATATTACTTGAGAGTTTGGACAAGTAAATTTGATTTTACACGTTGGACGACAGTTTAAGTTTAAAAGAATTTAATTTTAAATTCGCTGTAATATCCGTAATTTGATTAAACACCATTTATAAGGGTAGTCAGATTACCATATTTTAATCGTATAATATATATATAATATATAATATAATATGAATGCTATACCATCTACGTCAAGTATTACACTTCTATTTTACGCAAGGTGCTTTCCCAAACTAATTGTTGACTACGGAAAAAGATAATATGAAAATACCTAAAGAATCAGTTAACCATCACCTTGACATGTATAATAATTACAAAACGTTGGATTGTATAAAGTTTAATTCAAAATAATTGACTTTCAAATTTGAATGCTGTAGCATTCACGTTTCGTATGCGTTTCATTTAGCTTTATGTCATTCTGTTTTTGTCTAAATTTGTTTATTTCTAGTATAATACAGATTTTGAATAATTTCACTACAAAAACATACTGTGACTTTGACAATGAATACAAAACTAAATGATGTTCACCACATTTTATGTTTTTTCTCAAAATTATATAATATTACATGGAAGTGCAAAATTTACCCTGCATACATTCATTAGTAACGATAGAATAAGTATTTGATGTAGGTATTATTGTATCATTAGAAAATGGCCAATGTAGAAAGATATGTGATCAATAAATAATTAGAAAAATATTGTATTATATATAAGCAAGATAATACAATACCAATAAACTAAAAATTCGAATATTTTCAAAAAATTCCAATTAACAAGGTAATTTTTTTGAATCCGTTCTAAATTGCATCAAACTACCTGATAAATGCGTAATCACCTCCGATTCAATTTATTTTGTTAAATGTATCATAAATACAGCTTTAAAAAATAATGGTATCGTAACCAACAGATTAATTTAAAATCATAAATTCGTGTGCGAAACCATCATTAATATACGTCCCATGGTCGCATAACCTTACATCAATCAAGCGCTGTTTATTTTTCAAGGGTACATTTTGTTTGAATGATAACGTAAGCGAAGTGTCCCAGCATAGGCGGAAAAACTGAATGATGTATCGGTCGCGGCGTTCCGCAAAAAAACTTTTTTCGCCCATTTGCGTAATGAAATCTGAAACTGTGAATATATGACATTAGATTAAAATTTATCGCTTTGTTTTAAAATGGAAGCTTTTTTAATTAGATTAGATATAAAATAGGCACGTTTTTTTGTATATTTGAAATAAACCAAGTGATCTATCAAAATGAAAATCAACTATCGAACTATGCTCTGTTAATTCCTAATTATGGAAGTGTGATTTTTAACTTCCCGTAGGGTAAATCACAGTGATCGCAAAAAAATCGCAAATGAAAACTTTTATATATCTTTACGTTTCAGAGGTTTCTGAATATGTCGGCATACCTAAAAAATGGATGTATGTGTGTGTGACGTGTGTGTGTGCGGATACAAATTTAAATAATTCAACGGATTTAAATAATTCGAAAAACTTTTGATTCCTACTGATAAGGAGAGGTGCTGATTAGTTTTTGGCAAAGACAGGTCTAGCCGTTTTGGAGATATGGGGCAAAAATTGCCCAACGCAGCGTCCGATTTAAATAATTCAAAAAAACATTTTAATTGTATTGATGAAATGAACAACTGGTAAAATTTTTGTGAAGGCAGGTTAAGCGTCTCTGGAGATCCAAATAAAAAAGTAAAAAATAATGCCAATTGGCAGTCAAAAA